GGAGACTCTCAAAGGTGTAAAAATATATATAACTATCCAGGCTCTATAGTTTTTTGACCATAGAACTATTTATTTGTACACTATCAATTGAAAGAATATTCTTTAGCATTATGAAGTCCTCTACTGCTAGTTGTACTGAAATAGCAACTGTTTAAGACAATATTATGATGTTAAAAATAATAAAGAAATGTTTATAATGCATTTATTGTGATAAAGAAAACAGGAGATCTACCCTCTTGTTTATGGGGAGGGGCAGACAGGGTCTCTGTCTGTCACCCAGGCTGGTGTGCAGTGGTGTGATCTCAGCTCACAGCAACCTGCACTTCCTGAGTAGCTGGGATTATAGGTGTGTGCCACCGTGCCCAGATAATTTTTGTATTTTCAGTACATATAGGGTTTTGTGATGTTGGGAAGGCTGGTCTCAAACTCCTGGCCTCAAGTGATCCACCTGCCTCGGCCTCCCAAAGTGTTGGGATTACAAACTTAAGCCACCATGCCCAGCCAGATCTGCCCCCTTAACACATTTTTAAGTGCACAATACATTGTCGTTGACTATAAGTTACACAGCAGATGTCTAGAGCTTATTCAACTTGTTTGACTGAAAAGGTATGCATGTTTATTAGTAATTTTCCACTTCCTCTCCTCCCAGAATCTGGTTACCACAATTTTACTCTTTGATTCTAGAAATTTGACTACATAGATACCGCATGTAAGTGGTATCTTGTGGTACTTACTTTTCTATGGCTGGCTAGGTAAATCCTTGTCCTTGTCTTTTGAGTTCTACCTGCATTTATTACAAACGTTATAATCCAACACAGCAAAATTGAAAGTTAACATGATGTTTTCATTCATTGCCTCTAGTTTAAAGTGAATCTGGTTTGTTCTCACTGACAAGTCATTTCCATCATGCAGAGGTCTCTGTTCTGATTGTCTTCATCAAACAATGTTCACTTGAGTAGTATGCACTTTACATTCAGAGAGTAAATATGTACATACAAATATGGGCTGAAGGAGTCAGTACATGCACTTACAGCAATTAGCTTCATTTGCTCCCTTTGGGCACCCAGCTACAAAATCACAGATCTTCCTGAATGAAATACAATCTGCATCTTTACCTGGCACAAATCTGGCTTCAAGATTAAGAGCAGAAAACAGGCTTTCTCCCTTTAACAAATAAACAGAAAGCTTATTTGTTTCATCATCACTAGGTTTTAAATATTCTGAAGGAGAAGAAGCTTGATTAAAGGCCAAATCAAAGTAGCACTTGTGATTTTCATCATGTGGACTGTGTTTTAAATGTGAGCAGAAAACTACAGCTCTAAGATTGCTTTGAAGTGGTGCAGCCATTTGTATGCCAATTAAACATTTCAGAAGCTTCAAGTCCTGTACAAGGTCTGGGTAAATCTTTGGCCATTCTGCTCTATACACTTAACAATTTACTGCTAAAAGAGCATGACACATTTTTAAATTATCCTTTCAGCTTCTCTCCGTAAACTTCTGCCCATTAGTAATTCTGAATTCCACAAATGAGAGCCTCTAATCATCTGCTGGACATATTTGCAAAAACAGTAAGAAACTCTTTTTTATTCTTTGTGTATAACCATTGATCTTTCAGGAATCATTCACGTAATTTTTCCTAATTAGAGATATAATCTAACCAACTAATCTGGTGTTCAGATGAAAGCATATATCCATGAATCCTGAGTGAATCTATGAAAGGAATTCTCCATAAGCAATATGAAGTAGTCTCAAAAACTTTTGCTAAGGTTAACTTTAGTAATGATTTAAAACCATTAACCACACTTTTGCCTTGGCAGGAGCTCAGGAAAGGCTTTGAACTGAAGGAGACTGGGAAGTACCCGAGAAGCAAGGTCACTCTGATCTTCCCTGACCTTTCTGTGTGAGCGCCGGTCATAAAGAAATACTCTGGCAAACCACCAGATAATTTACATAGGCTTTACATAGGCACCTGTATACCTATGTGACAAGCCTGCATGTTCTGCACATGCACCCCAGAACTTAAAGTGTAATAATAAAAAAAAAGAAATTCTCTGACTCATCTTGCCTGAAATTAGGTCATAAGATGCTCTTTCTAAAGGGGTCCTCCCCTGCTCTCAAGGGGTTAGAAATTATACACAAGGGAGTCAAGGAGACTCTGAACACAAAGGCCTTGCTGGGTTTCCCCACTCAGTCTGTTACCATTGGATCATACCCTTTGGTCCAATCACATTTCACAATGACTGTGTGCCTTCATGAAAACTAAGCAGAAAAAGATACAGTTTTCAGACTAGGGAAAGGGGCCGAAAAACAAACAAAAATGAAAAAACTGAGATAAAGCACATGGTTTTCTCTAGGTTTCTGCATCTTCATTTCTGAAGACTCCTATGTCAAGCAAAACTTTGATAAACAAATTTGCTATGCTTTTCTCGCATTAAACTTTCATTCTAGGAGTGTCTAGGAAAGGTTTTTGTCATATCTTTCTGCCCCTACACCTCCAAGTACTACATTCCAAGAGAACACTCTTCAATGTCAACTTTAATGCCTTTCAGCTATTGCGATTCTGGTGATGTGGTATTTAATTAGGAGAAGGAAAATCTTTAATTAAACAACAAAAATAAGATAATGCTGTTTAACCCTTAAAAACTTGTAAATCTTTAAATTGTCATTAAATCTGCTGCTCTGCACTTCTCAGTGTCTATCAGAATCACACAGACACATGCACATGCACACACATGCACATACATGAGCATGTTTTTTTTTTAAAGAAGGACAACACATTTAGTTTTATTTCAGTCAAATCACAACACAGTTTCTTTTCCAACTGACGCAAAGTGCATCTGCAATATTCTATTACAGACCCATTTAAAAAGGTTTCTTGTGACGTTACAGCAAGCCTCTTTTTTCAAACAGAGGAATAATGCCAAATTCTTTCTCAAATAAAAATAAAAACTGCTTTCCAGTAAATGGTAAATAAATGAAAATTGCAGTAAGCCAGACACATAGAAGTCTTCTAATGGTTTATTAGAACGAATGTAGACATTTTTAAAAAGCCCCACTGTCATGAACATAAATTGAAGTTTTCAGCCCTGGTATAAGTGAATCAAAAAGAGAAATAAAAAATCCAATAATGTATTAAACATTTTTCACTCATTTGCCATACTGACAGTGCAAATACAAATCTGGTCTAAATGTACAGACTCTCAGACAACAATGTACAGTAATGGATGACACGGAATTCACCGAGGCCAAGAGAAACATGAACGACCGGGTGTTTGAGTACCACTAGTACCAGGATACCACGGCTGAGGAGGAGGACGAGTTTGAGGGGTGTGCTGAGGAGAAGGTAGACTAGAAGCTTCCTTTTCTAGGCAAAGGGGGAAAGCAGTGTGGATTCTTTAGTGTGTTCTGATAGCCATGAGCCACTACGCACTGTCTGTGTCTTTACATCTCCTCCTGTTGCATTTTAAGCATTTTTATAGTCTGCAGTTTTGCCTAATAAAGCATTTTTATAGCAAAAAAAAATGTGCACACACAAGCACACACACAGACACACACTTGCATGAACACATGCACAGAGCTCAGAACAGTCTATTATGCATGCAGGACACACATTCTGCATAAAGTAAATACATGTTAACCCAATATAAGTTAGCCAATTTAACCCAGTTATAACCCAATATAACCCAGAAATAGACAATCTCTAGAATGAAAGGTGTCTTTAATAAAAGACCTTTAATTAAAAGTTCTATAATCGGCCGGGCGCGGGGGCTCAAGCCTGTAATCCCAGCACTTTGGGAGGCCGAGGCGGGTGGATCACGAGGTCAAGAGATCGAGACCATCCTGGTCAACATGGTGAAACCCCGTCTCTACTAAAAATACAAAAAATCAGCTGGGCATGGTGGCACGTGCCTGTAATCCCAGCTACTCAGGAGGCTGAGGCAGGAGAATTGCCTGAACCCAGGAGGCGGAGGTTGCGGTGAGCCGAGATCGCGCCATTGCACTCCAGCCTGGGCAACAAGAGCGAAACTCCGTCTCAAAAAAAAAAAAAAAAAAGTTCTATAATCTTCTTCCCAGTCCAGAATTATGTGCCCCAAATTCTTCTTGATTATTCCATTCAGCTCCTTTAAGAATGCAACTGCTCCATGCTTTCTTACATGCTAAACATATTCCATAGATACAGATTAAGAAGAATAAAGTGTGACACTTTTCAGGAAACATTTTTAATATTGTCTACTTACTCATTGATATCTAAGGGTAGGAGTGGTCAGGGAAAAACATCAATTAGTACTAGAAAGAGAAAGTAACTGAAGACATAGTGTAAACTCTTCAGTGTCTACATTGATCCCAGAAGCTAAATAATGATTAGGTTTTACAATACATAGTTGACTATAGGAGATCCATTTTTATGACAACATTTCTGGCCTTTAATTGATATTCTCTCCAAAACATTTAGTCAAAGAATTAGACAAACTCCATCCATGAATTGAAAATATTAAATTTTGAATAGAAACACAGAATTTTAAGGTCCAGTTTTAAATTTCTGGTTGTCCTTACATCATTTTTCCAAACACAACCTTGATTTTTTTTTTAAATTCCTGGGTGATTCTGAAATATGATTATTACATGCTCACTTAAAGTTCTGAATAAAATTAATGGAGAAGTGAATGTTTATAGAAGTGCATTTAAAACATGCAAAATAATTATAATTTTTCATAATTTTTGTAATTAAAATATTTGGATGTAATAATTTCAGCTGCAAGCATAGAATATTTTCCATATTACTGGAAGAGAGGCTTCAGGACTAAACTATGATAGATCAGATGTTTACGTTTTAAAAAAGTAAATATATTTTCAGTTTCAAGAACAGGTGATCGAATCCACATCCTGTATTAGGTATTCGTGACTCTAATACATTTTATATTTTGATATCGAGAGGAGCTTAATTCAATGTTTAAAAAAGCAACAATGACAAAATAAAACAAAACAAAACAAAAACCTACCTTTGCTTTGGATATGGGTCCCTGGAAGTGACTTATAGGAAATTTCACATTCCTGGGATACACTGATGTCATCTAGAGCGACGGTAGCATTTGTTGACAAAACAGTAGCTTCCAAAATTAACTATAATCACAGAAAGATAAATCTGTTAAAAACACATCAAAAAAGTTATGTCTTACAATCATATTTCCTTGTGTAGAGGAACCCAATTTACATCTGTCCCATTTTCCAATCTAATTTTAGAAAACTGTTCTGACCAGAACACCCTAATTTAAATTTATAAAGTCATAACTGCTTTGACAGCATCTTATGTAACCTTAATGCCAAAGGTAACCTTGTTTCAATTAAAAGTTGTAACATTCATCACTAGTGAAGGTCTTTCTTCCCACTGAAGCCATTAAGGGTCATATGCATTTATAATGAGCTCTTTGGCACAATCAACTGTGTGGTTTACAACTCAATTTGAGATATGAATTCATTTGTAACGAGTGTGCCGGAGGCAATGATTTCTTTCCATATTAAAATATTTAAGTATTTTATATATATACATAGAAACATAATATGTATTAAATACATACACAGAAACATACTCAATGTAGTAAAGCACACATCAATAACCACATATAGTAGTTAATAATATTCATATACTAAAGCATTCAGAGACATCTAAGTTTAATTTATTCTAACACTCTGAATAATGACTGATATAATTTGTTTTCTTTCTTGATAATCACTCATATTATTATGTTACTATTCCAAGAAGAAATAAAATAGAGAATAATAAATAAAGAAAAAGAAAGGGAGGAAGGGGGGAGGGGAGAGGAGGGAGGAGGGGACGGGAAAGGGGAGGGAGAAGAAAGAAAGAAAGAAAGAGAGAGAGAGAGAGAGAGAGANGAAAGAAGGAAGGAAGGAAGGAAGGAAGGAAGGAAGGAAGGAAGGAAGGAAGGAAGGAAGGAAAGAAAGAAAAGAAAGAAAGAAAGAAAGAAAAGAAAGAAAGAAGGAAAGAAAGAAAGAAAGAAAGAAAGAAAGAAAGAAAGAAAGAAAGAAAGAAAGAAAGAAAGAAAGAAAGAAAGAGAGAGAGAAAGAGAGAAAGAGAGAAAGAGAGAAAGAGAGGAAGGAAGGAAGGAAGGAAGGAAGGAAGGAGAAAAGAAGAGAAAAGAAGGAAAGAAAGAAAAAAGAGAGAAGGAAGAAAGGGAAGGAGGAGAACAAAGAAGGGAAGAGGGAGGGAGGGAGGGAGGAAAGAAGGAAAGAAGGAAGGAAGGAAAGAAGGAGGAAGGAAGGGAGAAGGGAAGAGGTAATTTATGCCTAGAATCTATGAACCCACATAGTGGACCACCAGTCCAGGACACAGACAGTAGGTACATCTCTATCTTATCAGGGAGGGTCTCCAATATCAAGGATCTTTAAAATTACTTGTATTAGGGCTCAGAACATGCTATCCCAAAATATACCACCTTGGAGTCACTCTCTGACTCCCCTGCCCTTTTCTTTGTGAGAGCTGGCTATAAAAAATTATTTGACTTATTTCTCTTCAAAACGGGTCACAAGACCCTCACGTAACTGGTGTCCCACCCTATCTATATCTGGAGGAAAGAAATGCTATATAGAGAGGCCAACAAAGATCTTTGCTGAGTTCTCTCCAATTTATTGCCATGAGATCATACTCTTTTTGTCTAACATGTCTATCATGTCTATTTGTCCATATTTCTTCATAGCTGTCCATTTATCGTTGAACCTAAATGTAAACATAGAGAGCTTTCTCTGGTCTTTGGGCCTTCATTTTTGTAGCCCCTATGTCACATAAAATGTTAATACATTTGTTATTTTTCCTATCTTTTGTTGTAGGGGTTCCAGCCATGCCCCTTGTGATGAGTGAGGAAAAGGTATTACTTTTTCTCTCCTACACTTGGTATCATACATTAACTACACCACATCATAAATGTTGTATAATAAATAGGTATAAGATACTAGGACACTCAAAGACGACACGTCATTCTTTCTGCCAATAATGAAAGTTTGAGAAAAGATTTGGTAGAGAAATAATAGTAAGTCTCCATGACACCAAATTTTGTTGGGCAAAATATTTTACCTGGAGAAACTAAGGCAGCAATCTCAGCAAAAACAAAGAGAGAGGAAAGTGCATGCTGTGTTTAGAAAATCTTGATGGGTGTTACAGGAGTAAGACTTTAAGAGAACACCACATTAATCAGGTAATAGATGGGAAGGAAAATTCCATGAGTTGGTGTAGTTCAATTGGAGAGCAAGGAGATGGCATCTATGAAAAAGAAAAATTGCATAGACTATAAAAAATTGAGTTTATTTTTTGGTATTTACCCTAGAGAGACACTCACAGGTATACACACAGGAAGGCCTGTGGGGAATGTTTGTTTCAGTGCTGATTTTGATGACAAATGACAGGAAAGAACTTACATGTGATTTAATAAATAGTGAGAAATACTATACTAGTTAAAAATAATATCTATTTCCATGTGTCATTATGGAAAGAAATTCAACATGTGTTTTAGGGTAAAACAAGTTACAGAAAAAAAATTATAGTATAATATCACTTAGGCTGAAAATATACAGTGGTTTAGATTTCCAAGTATATGTGGTACATTTATATATATTAAGTAAATAGAAAATGGACTGGACATAAAAATAAACTGTTATCTATTAATACTCAAGATAAAATCTATAATGGGTGATGACAGCGGTCAGCAGGCACTATTGCTTTATTTGCAATTTTTGATGTGTTAATGCAATGTACATAATAATTTTTAAGATTCTGTTTAGAGACAGCTTCTGTAGAATTGTAACCAACTGAGAAATTTAGCCTTTGTACCAGAGGCAGAAAATAACATAGGTTTTGAAGAACGATCTTGTTAAAATATATACAAATGTCATATTTTACAAATATATTGTATTCAATCCCATTAAGTGACTGATTTTTTTAAACAGCTTTATGTTTGAAAGAGTTTTTCTAAATTCTTTATTATAATACATCTTGCATTGATGTCAATTAAAATAGATGTTTAATTCTTCAGACTCATTAGACAAGCATTTGTTGAGTATCATATTTGAAGGTCCGTGCTACTCCAAGAAGAGTGGAGAAAAAAACAGACTCTTTGAAGCACTTCTCTATGCCCTAAAGAGGTGCACACTCATATTTATTTGAATGGAATGAATGAGCCCTGGGATGAGGGGAAGTAGAATCATGAGGTAGTCTTTAAAATGTGGTTACATTATTTTACCTGAAAGGAACCACCAGTTTCCATTATATATTCATATTAAAATGTAAGGATAAATACAACTTCAAAATCCAAATAAAATAATACTAGATCATCTATATTTTTATTGTGTACTTCTATATAATTAAATTAATAATTCTACAACTAGAAATTGTAATTCTACCATTAATCAAAATCATACCAATTTTAAAATAAAAGTGGTTACTTCCTCCAATAAAAGTCTGTTATACCTGTAAATAATGACCATTTCATGGTTTCAAAATCATCTTGGATGTTCCTATTTTTTATTGCTTGTTTTAACCAAAATAATATATGTAAATATTTTAGTTGTGACTAAAAGCAATTCCCTCTGGGAACTATGGTCAGCATCAAGTAGCAATCGGTAAGTGAGAAGGAGATCACTTTGAAGAGCTGTTTCAACCACAGATGGAGGAAGAGTGAAACCCTCATTTTATAAGATTCTTAAGGTAACCGGAGAATTTAAATTTTAAATTAAACTAGAGTACTCTCTCTTCTAAAACTATTTTTTTTGATCTTGTTGATTTTTGTTTTATTCAATTATATTACTCACTCTAAGAACAAAACAATTTGCTTTTAGGAACCACAAAAAATTCATAAATGTTCACAATCAAGTGATTACTTTTCACAAGTGAAAAACTGAGATGCCTTTCCTAAAACATATGCAACTAACATAGAAATGTTGTTTTCAAAAAAAATAACAGGAGGAAAAAATACATATGAATCCAAGAGAAAACAGGAATATAGTAAAAAGGAGTAGAGAGAAGTGGGAATATATTAATTTTTGAAGAATGATGGTATCAGTCATAAGAGCAACAGCCAACTTGTATTTAGCACTTATTATATTCAAGACATTCACTTGTTTTATTCCTGTGAAGACAATGCTATTTTATGTTTTAAAGTGAAAGAAACAGAAGTTGAGAGAAAACAAGTAACTGGTTAAGCCTCACATATCAAGTAAGAAAAATATATAAGCTGAGCCATTAATGATTATACCATCCTACATCTCTAATGAAATAAAGAGATAACTGGGCCTTAGTGGATCCTTCAGAACAGGGCTGCCTGGAGAAGCAAGATTTCATGCAGCCTTAGATTAAGCAGGCCAAGGACACAGCAACTTTGCAGAGACTCAATCACCTTTTACTTTTGCATTATGAATCTTACTCTTCACTGAATCGTCAAATAATGTCAGGAAATTGTTATTGATTTATATCATTAACTCCGATAAAGAGAGAACATGGTATCCATCACTGTGGGAAATTTCACAAAAGGGTCATTTCAAAATGAAATCGAAAATATGATACAATTACCCTTTAATGGGAGGCTCGAAGAAAGTAGAGCAACTTGAAATCAATGGACAGTACTCAGAAAAAGTGCCACCCTGAGATACTAAAACTGAGCACAGCAGTTATGGGGAAAAAGAAATATTAAAATATATATATTCGTATGAAAAGCTGAACATAGCAAAGGAGCAGGCCAAGTTAAAACAGATTTGAAAAATACTATTAGCTCTTTGACCTAAATTTTTCCAAGAAAACTCTCACAAGAAATGGAGGGAATATTGAAATGTCATTTATTTGCTGTTCTTACAGAATAAACAATAAGCCTAATTCTTTGCCAGCAGGAAGAACGAATGCCCTTCCTAACTAGGGGTTCTTATTTCCTACGAAACCCAAAGCAATTTGTATTCTGTTACAATGTCTACAACTGACATCAAAAGAACCACACTGAATCAGAATTTCATGGCTAAAAGAAAACACAGAGGTCACATGATTTGATGTCTTTCTTCTTTCCAATCTTTGAATTGGATTACACTGTACTGTATAAATATGTTCAGAACTTATTCTCACGTAACCAATGGCTAGACGATGACTAAAGTCACCCTTAAATGATTCAGGCTACTAAACTTAAATCCTAGCCTATTTTCAAGAAGACAAACTTTAAATATCTGAACATTTTAAAAGCTAGATTAACTATTTGTAGGTATAATATCTTTTTCATTTGTTGCTGATAAAAGAACCAAGTAGAACTGTACCTAGCTAGAATCCTCATGTTTACCTTCATATCTTTAAAAATACACTTAGAGAAATGAGGTTAAAGCCAACATAATATTAGTACCTGGTTTTTTTTTTTTTCTGCAAAGGATACAAAATGGGATGGAGAGATACAAGAAGGACAAAAGGTGAATCTTCGTGAGCAAACTAACATTATAAGCAAACAAAATATTAACATTAGTTAATCCTGAGGTATATTTGGGTATTTGGTTCTCTCTGTATTAACTATTAGTTTGAAAAATTTAATAGCAAACACACACAATACTGTTTTAAATATTACCATGTATATATTTGTGCAAATGTATCTATTTTTATGTATTATGTGTGTATAAAATCTGGACTGATTCACAACAGAACGTCAATAGAAGTCCACCGTTCCTTATCTAAAGTCTTTGGGGCCAGAGGAGTTTTGAAATTCCAATAGTTTAGAACTGAGAATGGTAACATAACGCTGCGAGTATTTATTACATGATACCCTCTGAGAGATTGGGGACAGCACTGTTTAATCAAACCTCTCATGAAATGAACTGCCTTAAAGGCCTCACGGTGGTTCAGGGCAGCTTGGGTTTTGCCTCTAAATTCATTTTTCAAAAGCTTATTGCTTTCCAAATTTAATTTTCTAAATTGCTGATTAGATATTACAGGGCTGTCCTAGCCTTCTTGACAGTGAAATTTCAGGGATTTGTTTTTTCTAATTTTTCTTTTACTCATCTATAGTTTTCAAAATAAATGTGTGCTGTAGCCAACTTGTAACCTAGTGGGGAGGCTAGAAGAAAGTCTTAGCTTCTCTAAGGTAAATTAAGCATGTGGGGCCTCGAAAGAACTCAGCACTGAGGCTGATTGGAAAGAAAATGCAACACAAGGTGCTGAGCCACCAGGAGGGGGATGAAGGGAGAGGGAAGAGCAGGGCTGGGTTAGAAACTCTCGCACATCCACTGCAGCCAAATCACAAAATCTAACCAAACCACTGGCCATCTACAAACTAGTGAATATGCCCCCAGATTATAAGGGATAGTCTCCATTTGCTCTCCAAAGTAAAACCATTACTATAACCAAAAAGGAGAAAATTAAAGAGAAAACAAAAACTGCATTCACTGAAACTTTTCAGTAATTGGGATGGGTTAAAGAGAGCTTCCAGTCGTAGACAGAAATGGTATATGCTTCAACTCATATTTCTAAATTAACTACTGCTAGAAAGACATTGTGTTTTCTTTTCAATATGTCAATTAATGACAAACTATGAATGATATTCTTGGTAAGTTTCATTCTAACTAAAAGGAAACCAAATGAAAATAATTTTTATATAGAATATAAATGCAGGAGGCAAAAGATAAAATTGTTCTGATTTCTTTGTCCTGCTCCTTGAGATGGAGAATGATACCAGAACGATTCCATGACTGGCCTTTGTGTCAAATGCTTCCCAATTAAGAGCTACTAGTATTCATGATGTCTTTGTCCATTAAATATGAGAATAGAAAGATAAATTGATCTTTGAGAAGGGAATTTGGAGATCCTCAATGAGTGAAGAAGCCTTTAATGATTGAGCCTAGAGTTCTGAGCAAGCAGAAATTCCCTTTTAAAACAGAGAACACTAACACTAATTGAGTGTCTACTATTTCCAGACAATATCCAAAGAATAACTACAGCAATAAAAATAGCTAAATTCTATTTAGCTATTTTTAGTTGTTTATGCCAGGTTCTCTTCCATGTGCTTTACAAATATATACCATATAATCTTTACAATAATTCTATAAAGTAGAGAACAGTAATTGATTACAGTCAAGGCTTATTCTTCCTGCTTCCACGGAAAGGCGGTTCCCTGCAGTAACATTGCTGTTATGTACCCCTCACTCTTTCTGTGAGAGGAAGAAGATTTAGCTGACAGTGATGTTAGTAGAGTAAACTGGGTGAGCTCCACTCATCCTCTTCTCCCATTCAACACTCACTATCAGCCTGTCCTCAGTAGGCATGCATTTTGATATTATCTCTGGCAAATGGTAAGAGACTTCCCCTAAAGTATGAGAGCTATATTTCTCCAGCACAGTCAGTTGTTCTCTGCGTAATTCTATTTCTTCTGAGATCAAGCATTATTTTAAGTAAGTAGCTCTACATTCTAAAGCCATCTGCTCCAAAATAGGTATTCTCTACCTGTTTAACTTCTGTATTTATCAATTTGTTCAGAAATGAGGACGAGATGATGTGTGGTAGATATCACAGACCCTTACAACCCCGACTATTATCCTCACACCCAACTAATGAAACTTGAACCCAAGCTGCCAGAGACCATGTTCACGGCTGCCATTTTAGCTACATTATCTTTAATATTCAGGCTCCCCTGGAGTGTTGCTTTTATTGTCACTGTGGTTTTTACAGATTAGGAAATTTGATGCTAAAAGACAATATTTACGCAGTCACTTAGCAACCAATGAGCAGAGCAGAGATTAGAACTCAGACCATCTGACTCCAAACCAGTGTGTTTTCCAACATATTCCACTCCATCCAATCTAGCTTCCAAACTAGCTCTTTTCAAATGTCAGTCAGAGCACTTATACACAGGAGGGTAGAAATTAGAACACCCATTTGACAAGATACAATTACCTTCTTATATTATATTTTATTAATACATAGGTGTACATATTTATGGAGTAAATGTGACATTTTGATACATGCACACAATGTGTCATGATCAAATAAAGGTCATTAGGATATCTATCACCTCATACATTTCTCATTTCTTTGTGGGAACACTCCAAATCTTATATCCTAAATATTTTGAAATACACAATAACTTGTTATAGTTGCACTACTGTGCTATCAAACACTAGAACGTATTCCTTCTAACTACATTTTTAACAATAACAAACCTCCCTTCATAACCTCCTCCTCCCGACCCACCTTTCTCAGCGTCTAGTAACCACCGTTCTCCTCTCTACCTTCATGTGATCAACTTTTTAGCTCCCACACATGAGTAAGAACCTGCCATATTTGTCTTTCTGTGCCTGGCTTGTTTCACATAATATAATATCCTCAGTTTCCAAAGGTTGGTAACATTCTCTCTGTCACCAGGCAGCAGAAAATGAGGCAATAGGATTAAAATATGATTACAGCCCAAGTCATATTTTTTTCACTACATCATATAATCCGACGTCTTCACTTAGAAAAAAAAATCCTTTTAAGTTACTCTTCTCTCTGCCATCTTATTCAATTCTTATCTCCACCTTTGCTACTATTCCAGATACATCTTGAGCACATAGTCAAAACAACTTCTCTACTCATCCCTGATCGTGTGTTTGATCTCTGAATGTGTTTGCTTCATTAATGTTGAATAAATTCATGAGCTATGTCTGTTATTTTGTTATCTGAAAGAATTAGCATTAAATAAGTGTCTTCTGCTGAGTTGCATTAATTTCTTATGTGCTTACCTGAAAAGGTAGAGTCGAGTCTTCTGCTTTTGCAATGAGATCAATTTTTGCATGGCTCCACCGAGATTCAGAAGATCTGATTGTTTTGCCTTGCATTTGCAAGTTTCCATCTAGAGATGTTCTTGTAAAAACCGAGAGATATGAATGTTGAGACAAATGATACCAAAACTGCACCTGTTGAAACATGTTTTCAATGATATGAATATTCCATTAACATGTCTCTAGTAGTTTTTCCTATTATTTGAAATATTCCTGACCTCAGGTGATCTACCTGCCTTGGCCTACCAAAGTGCTGGGATTATAGGCATGAAACCCTGTCTCTACTAATAATACAAAAAAATTAGCCGGGAGTGGTAGCATGCACCTGAAATGCCAGCTACTCGGGAGGCTGAGGCAGTAGAATCACTTGAACCTGGAAGGCGAAGGTTGCAGTGAGCCAAGATTGTAACCCAGTCATGGGCAGCACTACTGTTTCCATGAAAGTTTTCAGAATCCTGTCCTCTGGCTTCTCATAAATCTGGTAAGTACACGTTAAGATTCCAAGTTACAAATATACACACTTGATGTTTCAAACACCAAACCAAGAAAAAGTTTCCTTAAAAATTATTTTCTTAGGTTAATTTTAAAAACTGAAATTTATACTTTTTACCAATTTAGCCTCTGTGGTAGTGTTCTCAAATAACTTGGAAGCTCACAGGATACTGTTCATCAATAATTGAGTCAAGTAAGACAACATTCTTTGAGGGTAGGGAGGCTTAATCATTTTACTTCCTATTTCCCATCAATAATGACACAATCCAAAGGTTTGATGGCTTAACTACATAGTGAATAGAAAAGAGAGGATTATTCCAGGTGCTGATAGCAGTTGCCCTAACATGAAATTTGGTGCTGTTATTGATTCAACCAATATTTACTGAGCACTTTCTAAGTATCTAAAGCAGTGTGAGGCAAAAACTAATTCCCTAAATGATGTCTTGATGATTCATTCTATAAAATACGCCCACAAAATGTCCATTAAAACAAGTCCAGATATGCTATAGTCAAATTTTTTTGCTTCTTCTCATTATGATATAGTAGGTTCTAAGGCTGTATGTTTCAAAGAAAAACCCAATATTCAAAGATGAGGTCCCTCAAAAGTGGAATATTTCTCTTTAGATTCAGTGACATTTTTTCAGGTTCATTAAAATTTCAATTTTCTTTAAAAAATTTTTTTTCCCATTCATCATTGTGCTTTTATACTGATACATGAACAGACACTAGTGTATATGTAGGCAAGCCATGTATTTCACTGTTGGGACCCAATTCCAGTGATGAATGTTGACTGAAAAAAAAAGTTTTAAATGCTTTTTAAAAAAAAATTGTTCATTTGAAAAGATCAAGCATTTTGTTTGGTACACATTTTTATCAATGTCTACTTAATTGTCACCACCTAATTTTAAAATTCTGATTGTTTATTTCATTTTAGATTTTATTACTATGTTTACTTTAATTCACACCTTGACAGGTAAGTTAGAAACAAAAATAATGGAAGTGTTTAATTAAATTCCACGGAAAGAGAGATTCATGTTTCTCTACTGCAATTAAATTTAAGATCCCTGATATCAGTTTCTCTATGTCCCAAGCTTGTAAATATGCAAAACAGAGCTTTAAACCTAGTTGTACGAGAGATGTGCATGTCCCATCTGAATTTCAAGCCATCAAACTGTCACTCAGTACGTCACCAGTGTGAAGTTTTTTTAATAGTGTATTAAGTATAAATGCCAATGGGATCCATTGTCAATGGAATAAGAGCTCAGAACTTATATTTAATTTACTTTTTTACAGAATTTGCATTCTTAAGTTATTAAATACCAAGGAATGTTCCATTATCTTTTCAATTTTTGAGAGTGAAATCACTGAACAAAAGTTATTGATACAACCCACAATTTTTTCTTAATTCTTTTTTTTTTTTACTTATGTTTTAGTTTCGGGGTACATGTGAAGGTTTATTACATAGGTAAACATATGTCATGGGGGCTTGTTGTACAGATTATTTAGTCACCCAGGTACTAATCCTAGTACCCAATAGTTATCTTTTCTGCTCCTCTTCTTCCTCTACCCTTCCCCCTGAAGTAGACACCACTGTCTGTTTTTTCCTTCTTTGCGTTTGTAAGTTCTCATCATTTAGTTCACATTTGTAAGTGAGAATATGGGGTATTTGGTTTTCTCTTCCTGTGTTAGTTTGCTAAGGATAATGGCCTCCACCTCCATTCATGTTTCCACAAAAGATATGATCTTGTTCTTTTTTTATGGCTGCATGTTCCATAGTACATAGTACATATATCCACTTTTCCTTTATCCAATCTGTCACTGATGGGCATCTAGGTTGATTCCATGTCCTTGTTATTATAAATAGTGCCACAGTGACCATTCAAGTGTATGTGTCTTTATGACAGAATGATGTCTTTTTTTTTTTTTTTTTTTTTTTTTATTTTTTTTTTTTTTTTTTTTTTTTTTTTTTTTTTTAGACAGGGTTTCACTCTAGTTGTCCAGAAATGCAGTGGCGTGATCACGGCTCACTGTAGCCTCAACCTCCCGACCTCAGTTGATTCTCCCACCTCAGCCTTCTGAGTAATTGGGACTACAGGCATGTACCACCATATCCGGCTAATTTTTTAAATTTTTAATAGAGAAGAGGGTTTCACCATGTTGCCCAGTCTGGTCATGAACTCCTGGACTCAAGCAATCCACCCACCTCAACTTCCCAAAGTGCTGGGATTACAGGCATGAGCCACTGCCCCTGACCTACAGTAGAATGATTTCTATTACTCTGTGTATATACACCCAATAATGGGATTGCTGGGTGGAGTGGCCCTTCTGCTTTCAGCTCTTTGAGCAGCTGCCATGGTTGAACTAATCTACACTCCCATCCACAGTATATAAGCATTCCTTTTTCTCTACGACCTTGCAAGCATGTTATCTTTTGACTTTTTAATAATGGCCATTCTGACTGGTGTGAGATGATATCTCATTGTCGTTTTGATGTGAATTTCTCTAATGATCAATTTTAAGTTATTGATACAAGCTGTGATTCACATAAGCACTACTCAAGCGCACAAACTCTGTGGCTCTCAGCCCAGTACACGCCAATAGCAGAATATTAAACCATAAACTCCAAGTCGTAAAATGTGTCATGAATTCCTCACAGAACCTGTAATAGTAATTTGTATTTTCTAGGTATTCAGTTAATATGTATTTTTAAGAAAGAAGAAGAAAGAAATGAGTGGACTGTTAGCATCGGTGCTTAGGTAAATGAATATAAACATTCACAAGTATACACAGAAAGAAAGTGGCAGCAGGAAGAGGGAAGAAAGAGAATGTATTGTATGTCAAAATAATTATACACTTTTAATAAGGCATTAAGGGTCCTTTGGGACCTCTGAGTCTTCGGGAAGAAGAGTGGTAAAAGAAAATGAACATTTAATTATAATTAACATAATTATAAAAGTGTGAAAATAGTGTAGCCATTAAATGTAAATTAAGTAAAATTAAACAAAGTGAAAAATTCAGTTTCTTACTATATACTTAACATAGGGGAGATTTTCCATCATTCCAGAATGTTGCATTAAACAGATCTGCAAAGCATGTAAGTGAAAATTACACCAAACATTCAAAATTTGTTTACTACTTGATCATTTTTAAGGAATATTTTCAGGATGCATGCCAGATTCATTCAAAATCAGTTGAATAAAACGTTAATAAAAAGGGCTTGCTTTTACTTTTCTTGGGTCTTTACTAAGGCAGATTTTATTTAAAGTATGACTATTCAAGACTTTGAATCACTGCATTCAAGAGAATTTCATGTAGTTAAACTTTCCAACAAAGCAGTTCTTTTTGAAGACTGAAGACAAAAATGAAAGCTCCAATTATTTTAAATTATATTCTTAGATTTTAAATTATTTCTATTAAAATATATATATATTATATATATATATTTTATATATATAATATATATAATATATATATAAATATATATATTATATATAAATTATATATATATATAATTTATATATTATATATATATATATATATATATATATATAATACATATACGTATTAAAGCATACATTTTCTAACAAAGGAGAATGCATCTGGTGATTTATACCAGTTACTGCATATGGGTATCTAAGCTGGAGAGGGGGTGATAGTCTTGGTTCCATTGGCTCTCAGGTCAGAACAGTTCCTCTGGGGTGTTGGGCTCTCTGATACTTCATTCGGGGACACTCAAGGTCATGATTCAGAAGTTTAAAATGATTTCTTCCTTATTTATTTGTTTTCTTTTTTTTTTTTTTATTTTGATCTGTCTCCTGGTGTAATTCTCCTCTTTTAATTTTCTGCCAATTTTCACAATTATCCTATGGCCTTTGTCCAATCTCTTCTCAATCTCAGAGCTCCTTGGTCAGCTCTTCATGTCTATTCTTAATTTTATTCCAAACCCTCAGCTACCTTTGCCTTCTCTGCATCACATAAGGCCCTTTACATCGTCCTCAGTCTGCTTATTGCCACACTTGCTGCACCTTTATAAGATCTAGAATACAAAGATACAGAAGAATAATAGCCAAAAAAAAGCAAAATAAACAAATAACAGAAAAGAAAAAAAACTATAGCTCCTCAAAATTCATCTGAGAATATTATTATTATTATATTATAATATAATATTACAAGGGAATATATTCTGACTAGTGTCAATATTATATTATAATAATTATATATTTATTATATAATATAGAATTATATTATACTTATATGTAATCCATTATATTAAACCTTATAATGTATAATATTGTATGATGATAATTATTATTATAAAGAGGTGATCATTCATCACATACATAAACACACAGGCAAACACACGCATCCCTCACTATGACCATAGTGATTTGTATGGCTCCTAGTCAATTATGCTTTTTCCTGGGCATTCTTCTCCTGAACAAGCTTAAGTTCAGGTTTAGAATCTTCTGTAATAACCTACCCTGGGCTAGCCTAAGCGACCCCATTTTAGCTGTAAACTCCAACCTGGCTTCTCCCTCCTTACCACAGCTCCTTTGGGTGCATAACTGGATCATGCCGCACTTAGAAGCATTGAAGCGTACTGTTCTTAACACTTGTAACCACTGTAACCATATCCTACTTGGCATACCTCCCCGCTGCTATTGTAAGAAAAAAGTTTCCCTTTGATCGTTGTGTAGAAGGAGTCTGATCGCTCCACTTCTTGGATCACCTGTGCCCACAGCCCCTTTCTCTAACCTGCTTTTCGGCTTCTGTAAAATTCCACTTCAGCTAGGTACTCCCCTCCCCTACCTAAATCAAGATATAAAAGATAATCAGGCCCCTTCCTAAGGGCAGAGAGAATTTTGAGCATTAGCCGTCTCTCTCCGTCGCCGGCAAATCAATAAAGGACTCTTAATTTGGAACTCAGTGTGTGGTGCATTCCATCTAACTCACTCAGTTACAACACTTCAATAAAGCAGAATCTGTTTGTCTAGTTTAAATGATTAATCCACATGTGCTTTGATACACAGAGAGGAGAGAGCACCTGCTCACCCTTTCCTCCGTAGACTGTTGCTTCCTCTAGAATCCATCAGATATTCTAACATTGATCCTTGGATTAAACACAAAAACCAGGGAATGGAGCACAACTGCACTGTTCTAGGACACGCTCCAAAATTACTGTTTTTCTAAATTGTTCTTTGACTCGAGTTCATTTTCCTACTTTGGGGACATTGTAAGGCATGGCCTTTCAAAACTCTTTGAGAGAGCTTTGTAAGTAGAGTATTGTTATTCTACTGGACTCACCCTCTTGTAGCTTGCAGCATTTTACACCGAGTCACTGTCAGTATCCCTCACTAAACCAAATTTTGTTAGAGCAAGCATGTATTTAGGTTGTTGCTGTTATATTCCCCCCATCTAGGACTGTGATCAGCACAGAGCAGGTAAGCAATATATGTGTGCTGAATCACAGGTAGAATGTTTACTTTGGTATCGTAGCAAGCACTCAGGGAAGAAGTCTCAGAAGAAATATTTTTAGTTTTGTTTCTTTTTTACTTAAGTGAATCTGAACCACATGTGGCCCTCTCTGCATTGGAAGACTCAAATGTATAGGCTGGCCCTAATAAACTTTGCTTTGGGAACCAACCCATCTCTGCTTTCATATATCTTTGTCCTCATTTTCTCATTCATATTCGTAAAACAATCTATGAATTATCCTATACTGAAGGAATAGTAATGTAATTGCAAAACAAGTTGGAGAATTAAAAACAAAAGAAATGCCAAAAGATGAACATACAAACTAAATTTGAAAGCAAAACTTCGTATCATCCATCTTCCTGTATTTAATTGCAAAGTCCCAAAAAAGTACTATTTTGCTAAGATAGTAACTCAAATATGGTAACTCAGAAAATATTGGTGTCCACATTAATCCCCTTCATACGTTACATTTCCTAATTAAGTGTAAACACTAACAGCATTCAACACCAATGAGATAAGATGGCTTTGGGCTTCCTCGTGTTCTGTTTGCCCTATCTCATATTTCAAAGAAAAATGCCAATTTTCCACCAGCAGCTGAAGGAACTTTTGAAGCACAAATTAAATTCTGCATCTTGAACAATGATTAGTTGCAGGAACGACTGTCCATGCTGATGCCATGTGTTGGCCACATATAAAGTACAAGGTAATCCATGCAAAATGGCCCTAAAATTGTGCTGTTAGAAACGGCAACTCACAAGACAGCTCATGTTTCTTTAAAGTGCCTTCAAAAAAAAAAAAAAATCTTAACTGTATTAGCCTGATAGGATTTTGTAGGGGAAAAAATCATCTAATTTCAGAAAATGAAGGCTTTAATCATATCAAAGTACCCCACACTGATTATCTCACTGACTGACTACTACCTTATAATGAAGGACATTGGTTCCACGAAAGCACTATTACCAATACTTTCCAATTTGGAGGATTAGCTAGATTTTCCAATTATCCAAAAAAGTAATAATTTGTTTTGTTTGCTTATTCTGTAACTTTTATGAAAGAAAATATCACATGTTGTCACAAACTTATTTTT